TTAGGTTTAGGGGTTAATTTTAGGTTTAGGGTTTACAGCATGCTTCTGTCTCTGCACTGTTGTCGCCCTGTTGATGACGTCAGCGATGCGGTTTAGTTGGGTGCGGTTTAGTCAAGCGCGGTTTTGTGGTTGAACCTTCCGAAAAGCTGTTAGAACCTGGCTGTGTCGGCAGGCCTGGGGTTGATGAGTTCCCTTCACCTCTCGAGTCGTGTGACTGTTGGTTGTCTTTTAAATTCCCCTGTACCTTTTCTGTTGTAGTTTCTTTGTGTTTGCCTCCCCCTTCCCCTTGGATTTGTGAGCCGCCCTGAGTCCCTCAGGGAATAGGGCGGCATATAAATAAAATAAACCTCAAACCTCAAACCTCATCATTTTAAGTGAAGGCCAGCGGCTCTAACACATGTCAGCACTCCCCGCAGCATTTTGCTGATTGATTGGCTGCGACAATCAGGACATCGTCAAAATAAGGCGTAACCCCAGGGATGCCATGGAGCAAATGCTCCATCAGGCCCTGGAAGATGCCGGGAGCAACACTGATGCCGAATTGCAGTTGGTGGCATTTAAAGGCACCACGGTGTGTCACTATGGTCTGGGCCACCATGGTGACCTCATCCACGGGCAGCTGCTGGTAAGCTTGGGCCAGGTCCAACTTGGCAAAGAGTTTGCCCTGGCCCAAGGTGTGCAACATATGTTGCACAATCGGCACAGGATAGGGCTGTGCCTGCAGGGCCTTATTGATGGTTGTCTTATAGTCCATGCAGATCCTCAGGGATCTGTCGGACTTTAGGGGCAACACTATAGGCGTTTCCCAAGGGGAGTGATCCACGGGCTCTAAGATGCCCTGTGCGATCAGCTTGTCCAGCTCCGGGTCAACCTGAGCCCAGAGAGCAAAGGGAACCTGTCTTGCCTTAAGGTGGATGGGCACCACCATAGGGTCCAAATTTAAGGGGATGGGGGTACCCTTATAACAACCCAAGGCATCAGAGAACAGGTCAGAGAATTCAGAGAGGAGGGAATCAAGGGAGGAGGTGAAGCGCAGGGAATTGATGCCAGCGATAGAGAGGCCGAAGGCTCGGAACTAGTCGAGCCCTAGAAGGGAAGCTAGGGGGCTGCAGACAACCAAAAGGGGCAAGGGACCCTTAAATTTTCCATACTGGACAAGGAAGGTCCCACAACTCAGAATGAAGATAGGATTCCCCTGGTAGTCCCGCAGATGACAGGTGGTGGGAGAGAGCTGGCTAGGCTGTAGACGCGGCAGCAAGGCTTTGAGAGTGTCCCAGGACATGATTGAGCGGGCAAAGCCAGTGTCCAATTCCATAGTGCAGGGGTGGCCGGCAAGGAAGATGTAGAGATGCATCTTACCCTGGCCCCCAAAAGAAGAGGAAGCGGAGTCAGCTGGACAGTCAGGAAGCGGAGGCTATGGGTTGGATACGGCGTAGCACCCCAGGCGGGTGGCCGAAGAAGACAAAGCAGGTCGGCCGCTAGCAGGATGAGGAGGAGCCCTCGGGTTGCGAGGGTCGGCAGGAGTCGAGTGGCAGACGGCCGCAATGTGGCCCCTTTTCCCGCACTTGCGGCAAAGGACCATGTGGAAATGGCAGGAGGCCCTGGAGTGGTGGCTGCCACAGCTGAGGCAGGTACCGCTATCCCAAAGGGACATTGACTTGAGGCAGTCGACCGAGGGCTCAAATTCTGCACGGAGGTCATCGGGCCCCATCTGGCAATGGACAGTGGAGTGAGGCAATGAGGGCAAAGCCGACGGACGTCCGGGGCGGACTGGCCGGCCATTTCATTTCACTTCGTCCACCACGATCTTCATGGTCAGCTCGGCGTGGGACAGGATGCGGCAGTGAAGGTTGATGTCGAGGAGACCGTAGATGAATTGTTCCAGGAGGGCATCCTCCAAATCCACGAATTCACAGTGGATTGTGGCAGCCCTCAGAGCAGCCACATACTGGCTGATGGTTTGGCCCTCAACCTGGATGCACCGCCTGAAGAACTGACGGCAGGCGTAGCGCGATGGCGTTGGCTCGTAGTGAAGCTTGAGCCTGGCCATCAAAATGTCCAGGGGCATCGTACGCACTGGCATTGGCATGGAAAGAGCCCTGGTGGTGGCGAACATTTCAGGGCCACAGTAGTGGGGGAAGGTGCCCCTCTTCCTCCCCTCAGACAAGTCAGTGAGATCATGGGCTTGTAAGAAAACCTTGAAGCGTTCGAGGAATGCATTCCACGATTCCGCCTCAGGACGGAACGTAATGAAGACAGAAGCCAGAGCGATGGCAGGAACATGGGCGGGGTCCGTGTCACTCATCCTCGTCGCCAGTTTTAAGTACTGACACTCTGAGGAGAGGGTTCAATCAAAGGAACTTTATTTAACACAACTTGTACAACAGTAGTGACTAAGAGGGAACCGTGCCCGCCTGACAGCTATTTATACTTGACAGCTGTCAGGCGGGGAACCAATCAGCAGCGCTCAATTCTCCCTCTGGTCGGCAGCTACGTCAGAGCCAATCAGCCTTCTTCTGACTCTGGCTGCGGCTGCCGGCTGCGTCGGGAGGACGCAACATTATCCCTTTCTCTTGTTTCTTTTCCTATCTTCTCAGGGCTCTTTTTCCCCAGGTCTCTTTTTTTATCCTTACCTTTCAGCTTTCCCCACATAAAAACTCCTCTTTCCTCTTCTCCTCCCTCTGCTTCCCACCAAAAACTCCTTCTTTTCTTCCCCCCTCTCCACCCGCCCCCCAGCTACACCAGGAAAGACTTAACAAAGGATAGTGAGAAATGCCAAACTCAGAAATACAATATATTGCAGGGTTGTCAAACTTGATTTCATTGAGGGCTGCTTCCGGGTTATGTTGACTTTGGGGGGCTGGGGTGGGCATGGCTAGCTGATGTCACTTGTGCCGGGGTACTGGTGGTGGCCGGAGTGTTCTGCCAGTGAAAATGGGCTCCTGAGCTCCATTTTCAGGTGTAATGGCCTCCTGCAACCCTCTGCAAGTAAAAAGGGAGCTCCCAAGTTCTTCTTTCACTGGCAGAAGCACCATGGACGAGTCCGCCGTTTCCAGAAGCCCCGTGGGCTAGATCTAAGCACCCCACAAAACAGATCCGGTCCCTGGACCTTGAGTTTGACACCCCTGATCTATTGGCTGTGTTGATCAGTTAAAATAGATAGAAATGAAATGATAAAAGCCTAGCAGATTGTACCACTTTGGCTTATCGGTAGTGATTCCTTAAGATTTGTTTTCTTTGGTGCACCTCTATAAATAAAAAAATAGTACACCAAGGTAGTATACTATTGTGATTAATGTTTATTGGCAAAAAACTTTTAGATGAGGACAAATTAAAAATTGTATTCCTTTTTGTAGACTGAAATTTTTATGCATGTATATTGGAAGTTTAAAACTCCAAGAAGAAAGCTTTCTAGGAGATACATGTAACTGAACGCATCTAATGCTATCACATAAGAAGGTTTGCTAATGGTGTGTAATTAAGTCCAGTCTAAAATTCATTTTTTTCTCTTTTTTTCTCATTAGTCTTCCCTCCATTGTTTTGTGACTCTGCATAGAATTGATCCAGAAGCAGAATGCAAAGATGGCAGCCGTGCCCTACATCCCAGGTCCGGACTGCCTACGCCCTTTTACCCGTGAGTCCCTTAAAGCTATAGAGAAACGGATTGCAGAGCGGGAAGCTGAGAAATTGAAGAACCAACATGAGGAGGTTCTTGATGAAGAAAAACAGCCAAAGCCCCGTTGTGACTTGGAACAAGGAAAAGGCCTCCCACTCATTTACGGGGAACCTCCTCCAGAACTCATTGGAGTTCCTTTGGAAGATTTGGATACATTTTACAGTGATCAGAAAGTAAGTAGGAAATGTTAAAGGGAAAGATAGAATTCAATAATAATAATAATTGCAGAAAGCGGCTTTGCTCGGAACAGCTTCCATTCTGCAACGATATCTGTAATACCATCAAACTTCCACATCTGCCCATCCCAGGTCTTTGGTAAGGACTCATATAGGTAGACAAAAATGCCAAACCCAGTCTGAACATCTGACTGACTGTGCAATGATCACGACCACTACTACCACTACT